GAGGCCTCACAAGGCTTGATGCTCCTCCACTAACCCACCATGTCCCCATTTCTGGGCATTGCACTTGCTCTTCCCTTCATCTGGAATCCTCTTCCATGGGATGTGCCAAATACAGCTGGCTTCATGCACTTGTTGAATGAATGAACTGATTTATGTGGGGATACTTCTGTACATTTCAAGAGAAGAAGAAAAACAAACATGTAAATACAAGTATTCAAAGCTTTACACCATTCCCGTCTTCTCCTGAGAAACCTTTGTATAGTAGCCCAAGGCTCAGAATCTTTATGCCTTTTATTTTTGCATAACTTCTTTTTTTTAAAAAAGATGTTATTTTTTAGGGCAGTTTTAGGTTCACAGCAAAATTTAGATTTTGCTCAATTTCCCATGTATTCCTTGCGCCAGACACACATACCCTCGCCCATGAGCAACATCTCACCATCTGTAGCTGTTTATTTGCTACAGTCGATGAACTTGCATTGACACATCATTGTCACCTGGAATCCATCATTGACATTAGGGTTCACCTTTGGTGTTGCACCTTCTATGGGTTTGGACAAATGTATAATGCCATGTGGATAACTCTCTGATTACACAGGTTTCACAGGTTTGTAACTGTGAAGAACAAAGTATGAAGAGGTTCTGCAAGTAGTTTCTGCCTCCTGGGACACAACTCTTAGGAAATAAGCCCCCTACCTGGTGATCGGGACTGAGGCTGACAGACAGCATCTCGCTCTCGGGAGACCCAGGGTGAAGTGGGACCGGTGGGGAGAGCCCAGGATCCAACTGGAAGAACTGGGAGGCTGACCAAGAGCGGCAGCCAGACTTGCAAGTGCTGGGTATGCCGGCTGTGGCTGAAGGACTTTGTGCACCTTAACACACGTTTACTCATTACAACAACCTGAAGAGACAGAAGAGGGCAGTAAGGCAGGGAGAGCGGTTCACACAGCCAGCTGGGATCTCCGTTCAGGCAGCCTGGCTCCAGAGCTCCCAAATGAACCCTCGGAAGGAACCCAGACCAGGGCGCAGGCTTGGAGGTGGGGCCCGGGAGGCCCAAGCGCGTGGGAATGAGGCGAAGAGGCAGCCAGCCCTGGCGGAGGCGCCGCGTGGAGCGGCAGCGCCCTCTGCAGGCGGTGTGGGTCTCCATGCCGCCCTGGCCGCCCGCCTTCTCCCCACGCTCTGCAGCCAGCGGCGGCTTCCGGTTCGCCCCACCCTGAGCCCTAGTCCTAGGCTAGTCCCAACGCTGGTCCTTCTCCTGTTCACGGAGCTCGGAGCATTTGTGCTGAGCACGCAGGGAGGGCCAAGGGCAGAGCCTGGTTATCTGCGTTTGTAACAGCCTCCCAGGAGACCTGAGGCAAATGCGCCTCAGAATTTAAATAGGATGCTCTTGAAAACATCAAGGCTTTAAGGGTTAAAGAAGCAAAATTCTAATGACAGAATTTCCGATCGAAGGCTGGATAGCACAGAGCATATCCTGGGGAGGCCTACACAGCACCCTTCAAGTCGTGTTGTGTGGACAACCCCCACACTCGCGGTTCAGGACCGTCTGCGGCCAAGGGTCCCGCGTGAGTGGGTGGTCTCGCGTGAGTGGGTGGTCTCGCGTGAGTGGGTGGTCTCGCGTGAGTGGGTGGTCTCGCGTGAGTGGGTGGTCTCGCGCGAGTGGATGCTCCCGCGTGAGTGGATGCTCTCGCGGGCGCGCAGCCTTCCAATCCTCTGCGGCGACAGTGCTGCTGTGGGGTCCCTCTCCTCAGGGCGTGATACGGGGCGGCGGGCGAGTGGCTGTTAACCCCTCACCTCGCGCCTCCAGTGTTTTAGCCTGTTCTGCACAGCTATCCTGAGATAGAAAAGAAAGAGCTCCTAGATAAAGAATTGTGCTTCCTTTGAAAAATGTATTCATCTGATGGCGACCTGGTGTTATTTTCTCAAACGTACCGTGTATGATATGTATGTTTACATATTGTATTACTGTAAGATAATAATCGTATTATCTTATCAGGAAATGGGCATTTTCCCTTTACCTGTCTCAAGGATTAGGCTGAACTTCTGTTTCCAAGGTTTGGGAACCTTTCGCTCCAGAAGAGAGAATTAAGTGACTTTATTCCTCAAAACACCAGCCCGTACCTCTCCCAAATCTAATCTGAAGATGTGTTTTGTTTGACCCACAGTTTTAAATGGAATCAACTGCCAAAATGTAAAAATGTAGTATATTATTTTATGAATTTAGGTTTCTGGTTTCTGTGGAAAAGCCTGACGATACTGGGCTGGCACTTGCAAGGGAAGCAGTTGGCTCAGGCCGAATAGAGACCTGCTCCGTCCGCGTGCTGCAGCCCCCCACTCCTATGGCTCCTGCCGGGGATTTCCTAGGGCCAGCTCTGTTTATCCTCTTCTTTCAGATCTGCTTCGCTTCCATCACTCGCATCTCTAGTTCAGGAGGAGGAGGGCTCCCAGGGATCTGCCTGTAAGCAAACGTTAGTTTACCAAGGGTCAGGAAGGTAGATGGCAGTTGGGCTCTGCAAGGGTGGGGATCTGTGACCCTTGCACTGATCGGGAAGGGACAGGTCTTCTAACAGAGCATGGTCACGTGGATGTCCTGGGAGCCCTGGCAGGGTTGGGTGTAGAGTAATGACTGGGGAAGACAGTGGAGCTGCATCAGAATGGAGCACACAAGCTTGGACAGTGGGTGTCTTGTGGGCAACCCTGGTGGGCTGTGAAACGGAGACTTATCCCCTGCTTTCCCAAATTGCTACATTGTAAGGGAAAGGATTGCTGGGGGGGGGGTCCTGAAAAAATAACTTAGTGGATAGGGCTTGAGCTGTATGTAGCTTCAATTAGAAACATGAAGAAAAGTTACATTTCTTATATGTGAATGTTCCATCATAAGTGCCTTGTGTTGTGGGAGTTTGCCTTAAAAAA